CACCACATAACCATTGATGCTGTGATGATGAAATTGTTGTTTCTGAAATCTCAATTTGTGTTGTTTCATTTTCATTTTCCTTACATTATTGTCATTTGAGCATCACTAAGTAATGGACTACTAAAGTGAAAAATTAAGTAAAAACATTACAAACTAAATAATAAAACAATAAAAATAATTAAATATAAACATTAAATACAAACGATACAATTCAAATAATTAAATAATAAAAACATTAATAAACAGAATAATTAAAAAGTCTATAATTAAATAAAAATTACATTTGTTGATAAATAAAGAAAATTAAGTAAAAACATTACAAACTAAACAAGACTATCGATGTCTTTGTCTTGAATGTGTTCCATAGGACGATGATTGTCTATTTTGATGATGGTTTCTTTGTATAAGTTGTTCTTCCTTATCACTCTCATCGTTATCATCATCAGTAGTAACAATTACATTTTTCTAATGAGGGACATATGATGATGTAGCACATTCATAGAATAAGGACCCTGGAGGTGTATGACTAACCATCCCACTGCTTATAGAAAACTATGAAAACTGGACGAAGCTATTTGAGTTTGTGGTGAAGCATCACCCGCCAAATAAGCAACATATGAAGCCCACGTTGGATCTACAAGTATGGAACTATAATATTTGCAAGTAGGTTTCATAAAACCCTACGGAGGTGGTATTTAAATTGGCTGTGGTGGCATCTGAAATGGTTGCGGTGGCATTTGACCCAACTGCGGTCGCATCTAAAACATCTATGGAATATAAATCGGTGTAGATAGTGGTTGTTGTGATGGTTCCGATGCTGCAGCTAAGGATGAACCAGAAGCTTTGTTCTCTGTCCACGAGTAGGGGAAAGATGATACTGTGACGGTGGACATTTTTGCTCAATGTCGATGAATACTCCCGCCTTGTACTTCCTCAGAAAGTAGGAACAACTTTCCATTCATGTTGAACCACTGATAATACTCAAAAAAATTATTTATATACAAACTCAGTATTGGAATTACCTCAACAATAACGGGAAAACTTACGGGTTTTTCACGACAGGACAAAAAAAAGGGTATGCGATACTACACCCATGACTGCAGAAGAATGAGACATCCGTCGATAGCATTTTTTTATAATTAGTTGCTCGTCACATTTCTCTATATAGAGATGCCAAAATCGCGGAGCCCCAACTGAATGAGCTGATAACTAAAAAATATGCGAGTGGACGTAACCACATATAATGAAATTGGTTGTGAGATTTATCGGGCATCAAAATCCCTCCTATGAGTCATTGCAAGCCCGGGCAAATATTTTAGCCTGTTCCTCAGAACAGTCATCACTCAACTATAAAAAATTTGCAGTCAACCATGATAACGATATTCGACCACTGTTGAAATTAAGCGAGATACCTCCAAGATACTCCTCGCACAAGGAATGCCAATCATCATCCGCCACACCAAAAATTACATCTCCATCTACTGGAAGCCCTAAATGTAAGGAAACATTTTTCATCGTAATAGTGCACTCCCCACACGGTAGATGGAATATGTGTGTGTCTCTGGTCTTCACCTCTCAACCAGTGTAGAAATAAGGTTGTATTCAAGGATACAATACCCTTCATATCTTGCTATGTAACCAAATCTAACATCGATTAAATACAACCAAACACAATTTGGTATCTCGAACTTAGCGTTATAAATAAATGGATCTAATATACGGTCATTCCCCTAATTAAATAAATAGTATACAAATTAAAATATAAACTAATATTAAGATAAATAAATAAAACATTCAAAATAATTAACATAACACAATTTAAAATTGTTATTGTATTAGTAAAATGACTTGAAATATGATTTTTATCTAAATGCAACAACTCATCTTCCATTTTATAACTGCAAAACATAAAAAATGGCACAGTAAAATATAATAAAATCACACACAATTTAATGATTATAATATAATAAAAATAATTTTACTTTCTAAAAATAATAATATAACACACTTGAAGCTTGTTAGAAGGAATGATAAAAGTAAGAAGGAGATTGTTTTTTTGGTGTAATTTGAGAGTTGTATGATGTAGCATCCCAAAAACCAGGTTAGTGACTAAAATGAATTTTTTTGAAATTTAGTGACTAATTTAAGAAAATAGAAAAGTTCATGGACTTAAATATGAATATTTTTGGTATTGGATTAAATAGTATTTATGGAATGAGAGAAGGGCATTATGTAATTTTAGCTTAAAGGATATTTTTATCTCCTTTATTAGGAGAAAGGAGATAAACATGTGGGATTTGAGAGATATGTCTGGAAGCTTATTTTTTCTTGACTTCTTCTTCTTTTTCTCGTTTGCTTAAGCTCTAAAGGTGAGTTTAATTTTAGTTGTTTAATTCTTGGATTTATGAGTTGATTTTGATTCTTTGGGTGTTATATAAGCTTAAGGAAAGCTTATATAAACTTAAAACATCAAGAAAAGAGAATTAGAAAGGAAATTGTATTAAGGGTGTAGAAATGAATTTTTTGTATGAAGAGGTTTTTGAAGTTCTATTGATAAATTTGACTTGTCATAATAAAGATTAAGAAGTTTAAAGCATTAGAAATGAATTTAAAACACATGGAAAGTTTAGAGAAATTCTTTGATTGAAGAGTTATAGTGAGATATTAAAGATAGTGAGATATTAAAGATAATGAAGTGTTATAGTGTTAAAATAGGGTTTACGTAAGTATAGATAAGTTTTAAGGCATGAGGAGAGACAAACAAGTAGAGTTTAGGGTAAAGTGTTAACTTTTTTGGGTTTAAAAGATTATATTATGGGTAGTAGTATCGACACTAGTTGAGTTAGTACCGATACTACAAGGCAATTTGTGAGAAATTTATACATTGGGTATCGATACTGTATGAACAGTATTGATACCATAAGGAAAAAGAGTAAGAAATTTTCATGAAGTATCGGTACTGAAGTAATAGTATCGATACCAATGTGGAGGGTATCGATACCAGGCAACATTGAATCTAATATTGGTATCGATACCGGAGGGGGTATCGGTACCATAGCATAGAAGTATCAGTACTGTGCTGGTAGTACTGATACTACTTAAGTGGGAAAGTGGAAATTAGTGTTTTATTTAGTTTTCTTTGATATGAATCTTTTCGAGTAATTTAAATTCCGATATTCATTGGATTATATTGTGTAGATATCGATCAAAAACAAAGTTCGGATAGGCTATCAGAGTAACAATTTCGAGAGGGAAACAAGAGATTGGTATTGACAAGTGATCCAAGGTGAGTACATGATATTAAGCTTAAGTTGTTAGGGAATTAAGACTTGCGATGAGTTTAATTCCGATATTAAGTTATATGAGTACTATAACATAAGCATGTAGTGATATGATGCTAGATGTATATGAGTAAATGCATATGTATAGATGTTGAGTACATCTTTATATATATATATATATATATATATATGAAATATGTGAATGTATATATGCATGATAAATCGTGTGACCATTAGCTATGTGTGATAATAAGTTATGTGAACATAAGAGATAAGATAGATGATAAAAGATATGTTAAAGTGATATATGTGATTACATGTCTATATGAATACAAGAAAAATGTGATATGACTTATATGTGACTCTACGAGAATGTTACATAATGTATGTGATATGAAAATATGACTATGTGATATGAATGTGTTTTATGTGACAAACATAAAAGATAATGCCCATGTTATGTGTTATGAGAGCTAGAGGTATAGTTGGCATGCCAAGAGTCGAGGGTTCTACGTGGTCCTTCGGGACATATATGTAATCCTTTGGAACATATATGTGGTACTTCGGCACACTTATTTGGTCCATTGGAATATGTATATGGTTCTTAAGGAGTAGTTCTTTGGGACATAGTGGTCATTCGGGACAAATTCTACGCGCCCCTAGTGGGAATTATACGAGTTGTGGTGACAACATATGTGCACAACCTCTATGTACTCATATACCTTAAGTTCTTAAAAGTATACATGGGCTAATAAAGAAAGATAAAAACAAGTGCATTGTGTATGAGATATATGCTTTGAAATGTGAAAAGTATTATTGGAGTTGTGATGTGATATGCATTGTTAGTTTTAAGAGTATATGATTATATGAATGAATGATAAGAATGTTAATAATGATATGTGTGCATATAAGTTTGTGGTGTATGAAATATACATGCATTTGTTAAGTAGTTATAGTTTCACTAAGTATATGACTTAGTGTGTAAGTGTTTTACACATAGGTGCTGATAAGCAAGATGATCAAGCTTAGGACCAGCAGAACAACATATCTCCACTCGAAGATCATATCAGAAATATTTTGTAAAGTATGTTTTTTTTAATAGACATGTTGGCATGTAAACAAAATCGTTAAGTATGTATGCTCTGATCAATTTTGGTAATGTTTTGAACATATTGATGTAAAATGTTAACTTTATATTAATGAAAATTTAAATTTTCTATGGTTTTTATAAAAATACATGTTTTGAATAGTCAATATGACACATTGGATTCGTATCCGGGTCGAGTATGGATTAAATGTGTTATATATGAGGTAGTATTTATAGGAAAAGAGTAGGTGATAATTAAGGGGAGCAACGAATAATTGGGGGTAATCATGAAGGAACATATGGTGATGTGCCTTCTATCACGTGTCAATTTTATCCATAAAAACAAGGATGGTGATATACATTTTACTCACGTGACGCCAACTCAAACAAAAACTCATGAAGACGCATTTGGTGATTTGCTCCTTCCATTCATATCAACAGTGTTAGAAAATTTGGTTAATAAATGTCTATTTTTGGTAAAAACGATTGATTGGTTCGGAAGTTCTTCCAAAATATCATGAGATATATGAGACGAGATAAAACTCAAAGCATTGTTAATTTTCCTCTTTATTTCCGAAACGAACCACTGTTGATTTCCTTTTTTGCCCCCTTTACTCTCTCCCTCCCTCTTTCTATCCTTCTCAGGAGACTCTGAAAGCATAAAGCCTTTCCTTCTTCTAAATCCCAAAACCCAAAACCCAAAATGGGGAAGTACATTAGGAAGGCCAAGACGGCAATGGAAGTCAGCGTAATGGACGTCTCCCAGTCTTCCCTCGGGGTTCGAACCCGGGCAAAAACTCTTGTGCTTCAACGCTTACAGAAATCCTCCACTTCTCCGGCAACGGCGCCTACATCTCCAACTCCGGGTTCCTCCTATCTCCAGCTACGAAGTCGCCGGCTAGAAAAGCCTCCTGTTGTGTTGCGCCACCATGATTCGAAGAGGCTGAAGCAACAAGGGATTAAAGACGAGGGCTGTGGGGGAAAATCTAACCCTAATTCCAATTTTCGGGTCCGGTTGGGTAAGGATGATGACGTTGGGAGAGAAGAAATGGTGCAAGAGACTAATGGAAATGACAATATTATTAATAACAACGACATCAACGATTTTGGTGGTATTGAAGCTTCCTTTGGAGAAAATGGTTTGGACAATGAAGCTCGAGAAAGGTTGGTTCTTTTCTTTCTTCCTTAAAATCTATCGTTTTTTTTATATATATAAATAAAAAAAACACTCCTTTTTTCCCTTTGTAACTTTCAAGAAAAGTGGGAACTTTTGCTTCAACTGAGTTCTTAAGTTTTCTATTTTTGAGCAACAATTATGAAATATTGGGACATATATTTTATCAAACATCTTGAACCCTTTGAATCTCCAGCCAAAACAAGGGGACCCTTAATTCCTGTTCGGATTCTGCTGTATAACATGCTAATGAATGGGTTTTGTTTTTATCTTTCGTTGAAAGAAGGGAATAAATCTCACTTTTGATAGATTTCTGCTATCGGGTGTAAGGAATTAAACGGCTTTTCATCTGTTTCTGCTGAAATCAGTAAAGCTAATGTCCTTTACAATTGTCAAAACCTGAAGTTTAGTATTGTTAATTGTTTGAACTTTTGGTTATTTCTGAATTTTAGTCTTTTCTTCCTGAGATAAAGCACCTTGTTGTGACGGAAACCATTGTTTCTCCGCTGCCACGAATAACTCCTGCTTTCATTTCTGGCCCAACCTTTTCTTTTTACCCCGGTAAATTTGGTGCTTCTATGATTTCAAAATTTGGGTTTTGTCTGATTATGCGTTCATATAAATAAAATATATATATATCGTACGCTCTAGACTAGAGTCTGTTGTTTAGGTACTTTTAGGCATGTCTGTTGATGCATTATTCTAATGGAAAGAAAAAGAACTGTTTGTTGTTTGTTCTCCACATGGTGGATGGTGCTACCTTTTCCGGATAAAAAATTACAACTCTATCTTTAATTCTTTATGTGTGTATTTTTTTTTCATTTTCTTTTTTTTTCTTGGTGATTTTAACGTGGTTTGAGCATAGGATATTCTGGCAAGAGTTATTTAGTTGATGAATCAAATTATCAGAAAATCTGTTTCTGTTTATATATATGTATATATTATTTTCTTTTTAATTGATATTGCCCCGTAACACAGCTTTTTATGATTTTATTTGTCTGTTGAATTCCATGTATATGTTGAGTCTCTTTTGCTGAAATATTTGAGGTTGAAGCAGGAACTAAAACAAAATGATAACAAGAGAAACCTTTCATTTATTCCCCCCTGAATTTCAGAAGCCTTTTTGCTTTAACATTGATAAAAATGATCGGGTCTTATCTGGTTCTATGTTCTACGTTACTCCGACTTGGGTGTATAGGTTGTGTCTGAAACAAGTATGGCCAGATTTTTCCAATTTTCTCCGTATATTTGGAGGATACTCAGAGATCATATCCTTTCCAAATTCAAAAGTGTCGGAAGCGGGTATTTCGGGAAAAATGAAGAGTCCCAAGGACGCAGATCTGGTTTTCCATTCAATGTTGTTTTGGGTGTTAGATGTAAATCAGGAAAAAGAGACCCGTTATCATTTTTACTTTTACCGCTTCCTTTGATTTAGTTGTTTGCCTTTAGATTCAATTACGTCTCATTCTATGGTGCTAAAATTTTTCATTTTTATTCAAGTACTCTGGCACAACACATTTTCAGACATACTTTTTCAAGGACCCTCAAAATACATGAAAACAATTTAAAAAATGAACATATCTCTTATGGATTCATATCCGTAGCTAGTGCACATGAGTTTGAGTAACAAAGCTTTCAGTAACTAATAGCCATTGTTTCTGTGCAGGGGCACTAGGGAATCAACTCCTTGCAACTTGATAAGGGACCCAGAGAGTATAAGAACCCCTGGTTCTACTACTAGGCGTACCAGCTCAACAGAGACTAACCAGAGAGTACATAATTCAATGCGTGGGCAACTCCCGATAGCACATGAAATGGATGAGTTCTTTTCCGTTGCAGAAGAAGAGCAACAGCGACAGTTCATTGAGAAGTAGGCACCACATTATTTTTTTATACCTCTTTGGTATTATTGTGGTTAAGATCTCTGATAAGAGATGTGGGTTAATTTGCAGGTACAACTTTGATCTCGTGAATGATAAGCCGCTCCGAGGACGTTATGAATGGGAGAAACTGAACCCGTAGTGAAGAGTAATTGTTGCATAGGGACTTACTTTCTGGTCAATTCTCACTTGATATCAAAGTATAGGTACTTTGTAGTCTTTTAGCTGTAAAGGTGACGGTGTTAATTTCCATTTTCCATCACCATTAATTCACTTGTAAAGAAAGAATTAGGACTTTTTAAAAAAATCATGTAGACTAATGGTCTGTAACTTAACAGAGGTAATGAGTTACACAAACTTCAAACATCAAAGTCCTTTGTCTAACAGATCATCTGGGGAGAAGAGAAGGGAATGAGAGAAAATTTAGTATAGAATTTCCTGTCCTTTTTTTGTGTACTGTATTTTCCTTGTTTGTGTATACTTGTAGTAATGGAACTATGATATGGAATAAAAATGATCCCTTTTCCTTCTCTTTGCCTTTACCTGTATCTTTTCTTATGATATTCACCGTTTAGTGAGAATAAGTGATCCAATTGAGTTAAGGGTTTTTTTTAACTACTTTTTATTTGGCTCCGTGTGGGACGAAGGAATGTTGATTGATAATTTCAACAACTTAAAAGTTGTTGATGACGAGGATAATACTGTGAGCCTATCACTATGATTCTGATATAATATTTGAGAGCTACTATATTTTTATTGAAATGATATGGATGTATATTTGGGTTGGAATAGCATACAAAGTAGCGGTAGAATTGGGCATGACCGTTTATTTAGCACTTTATTTTATTTTGAGATCTACGACAAATATTATAGTGGACATGGAACTCATCATGTTGGCATGACGAGTTTCATGTAATATATTTTTTAATAGGTCGTGGGACGTGGGTTTCACAGCTCGAATATATTTAATATATATTAAGAGACGTGTTATGCCCGCATGACGAGTCCTAATAATTTTTTTTTTTGAAATTTTTAGAAAAATGTAAAAAAAATATAATATTTTAATGGATAGGGAACTCATCACACTTGTGTGACGTGTTCCAACGGGTATAAATTCGAAGTTTTGGACTGTTGGGTTGACCGTTGTTGAAAGGGTAATTTTTTTAAAAAAATCAATGTAACTTGTCACGCCAGTGTGAGAGTTCCAACATGTAATTTTTTTTCATCTCTTAAAATAGTGTACATCATCTTCAATCTCTTATATAACACACTCATTTCATCTCTTACACAACACGCTTCTTTCATCTTCAATCTCTTACACAACATACTCCTTTCATCTAGCCAAATATATTTCAAACAATGAGTAATAAATTCTTCACAGTTGTCCATTATAATGGCGAAATTCTTCAAACTGATGTTGGTGTTGTGTTTAAGTCACACAGACCCATCAATATGATGTTCCCTGTAGATGTATCTCATTGCCAAATGAAGCAAAAAATTAAGAGAAAACTTGGAGCTTCTGTTTCATGTTTAAGTTATCAGCACCTAATCTCCTCAAATCCAATCACATATGGAAAAGTCTAGCTTGATGATGATTATTATGTCGTTGCTATGGTTGGACTTCATCAATCATCAAATAATAATATGGAGAAGATTTACGCCGAAAATATAATTGCAATTGATATTCCGATCGAAGAACAGAAGAAGCATGACCCTCTGAACCACATGCAAGTGACGCTGATGATAACCTTATTGGACTGTTCGGTGAAAGCTTTGCTGAATTTAGAGAGGATGATGGAGATATTGTTCCATTGCTAGACGATGATGACACACCATTAGTTGAAGATTCTGATGTTTTAGAGGCTGCTTCAGAGGGACAAGGTTTGGATGTTGAGGCTGATGTATGTGAGGCAGCTCTTTCACGATGTCAAGGATTGCAGAATGCTCTAAATGTTTGGGTAAAAACATACCTTCAACCTGAAATGTGTCACCATGATTTGCCTCAGTATCATCATCCAGTTGCAATGCATGACATTAACTATGATGCTATGCGGAATCTTGAAATATTTGATATGCCAGAGTTATGTGTTGCCCACTAGGGTTCTTTAGACGAACGCTCATCTGAGTTATCCATTGGGTCTTAGTTTGAAATAAAAAAAAGAGGCACAACTTGCAATTAATGAGTACCGCATCAAAGCTCATATTGAAATCTATGTCGCGGAGTCGGATCAAAAGACTTATTTTGTAAGGTGTATACACCATGATGTTGGTTGTAAATGGATAATACAAGTATTATACATACAACAGAAGTTGTTGTGAGAAGTCACAAGTTTCAATGCACAGTACGTATGTACAATGTCCTCTTTGACACAAGACCACTGACATTTAGATTCGGATGTCATATGCTCCCCTGTAAAGTGTTGGTGGAAAAAAATCCAAGAGTACCCATTTCTGTGTTAGTGGCATCCATTCAGAATACATTTGGTTATATTCCAACTTATTACAAGGCATGGATGGCTAAACAGAAATCAATGACCTTGTTGTATAGTGATTGGGATCAGTCATATAATGAGCTACTACGTATGCTGCAAGCAATGAAATTTTTTATCCATAGAACCATTGTTAGGTACTATACTCTTCCTACAGTCATGCTTTAGGGAGACGTTAACATTGGGAAGAGAATTTTTTGCGGCTTGTTCTGGGCGTTTAAGTAAGCTATTAAAGGGTTTATATTTTGCAAACAAATGATTCAAGTCGATTGGGACTTTTCTGTATGGGCTCTATAGACATGTCTTGATGATAGTTGTTGCACGAGATGGAGACAAAAATATTTTCCACATTGCATTCACCATTGTTAAAAATGAATCGGATGAAACTTGGAATTTCTCTCTCTCCAACTTGTGTTCCCTATGTTGTCACTCAAGATGGGGTTTGTATGATCTCATATCAATCACATGGGTTGTTAAGCATAATTTCTAGACCCGAAAGTAGATGGACGCCTCCCCACGCATATCATGCATATTGTATACGTCATATTACGTCGAATGCTATGAAGAGGTTTAAGCAGAAAAAGATCAAAAAAGAGATTATCAAAATGAGTAAGTATTATATCATTTCTCATTGATTATTTATGCTTCATTTTTATTTTTTTTTATTTTTTAATAACATTTAATTTATGCATATTTCTGCTTCATGTATGCAAATCAATGTTGACCCATACTTATATGCTGATGACTGTTATAGCTTGTACATTATGCGCAACATTTACAGTTGTAACTTCAAGTACCTCCCAAATGAAGTATACTAACCTACATGCACAATTTCTGAGGAATGGTTTCCAAATCCTCAATTGCGTAGGAAGTTACGGAGTCGGCCTGAATCTAGCCAAATTCATACTGATATGGATGATCCTCAAAGAGAGTCAGGTCTACCCAAACTTTGTGGTCGCTGCAGAGATGAAGGTCATAACAAAAAAAACATTGTCTTCATCTTCCAAAATATCGAGCTGGATGCTAAAATAGGCGTTAAAAATATTATGTTATCTTTTTTACTTTTACTATTTTAACTATGTTTTTCACTAGGTTTTTAGTTTGTACTGTAACTATTTTTTAACTTGTACTCTTTCCACTATGTTTATGAGTTTTTTTAGTTGAACATCATTTCTTCAAATTTTCGCTTCAAATCTTATATAATTGCAAACTATTACTAAAAAGTTTACTTCATTCAATAATTATTTAATTAATAAAGTCAACTTCATACATAAACTAAAACCATACAAATCAATATTTGTACATATGTCATTTTCTATTTTTTTTAGATCTCTCTACAATTCGTTCATTACGTGGGATTAAGACACCTTCGTATTTGTCTTTTTTCATCTTATTCTTCTCAAATTCTATACTAAATGATCGTATTGAACAAGATGATTCCATGAACCTTTTTGTTCCGATTCTGAGGAAAATTGTTGTGAAGGTGACACTTGATCCCGTGGACCGTATTGCCACGAGATTGACCGTATTGAACAAGATAATCCCATGGACCTCTTTGTTCCGGTTTTGAGGAAAATTGTTGTGAAGGTGGCACTTGATCCCACAAACTTCCTACCTATAGCACTCGACTCTCTATCGATGGCTGATATAGAGCATATCCACTATAAATTTCTTGAGATGGATAATAATTGGTGGAAGCATAAGATGAAGATGTTGATAAAGATGATGATTTTTTTTGCATATTTTGCCTTCATTTCCTCCCAATCAGACTGATTCTCCGACGTTGTCAAGTATGATTTCCCATTTGCTTCATAATTTTGGAGGTAAGGAAAAACTGTGAAATCAAAATCTTTAGGTTGTAGCTCGGAACGATTAGGCAAATATAAATGTCTATTTTGCCATTATTGTATGAATATAGCATGCTTCCTCGGCCAATCTTCCATATGCTTCCCACGCGCATCTATTTTATGAAAATCATCCATGTTATATATGGACATTTCCATCGGTTGGTGAAACCCAAATCATCGCAAAACTCTATCGGCGACATGGATCTCAACAATTGCGAAGTGGAGCAATGGTGTTACGACACATCATGTCTTCGCTCCTTGAAAGAAAAATTGGGGTAGACACCGTTGGATCTTCGACTCACAATAAGACATACAATTAAACTATCAAAAGTATTATGTTAGTTGTCGAAATGGTCTTTTCCAGGAGTGGAGAAAGAGAGGTCCCGTTTCGAAAATAATTTTTAGAACGACCTATTAGTGATAAAACGCGGTTCGAGGAGTCGTCACCAATCTTTAATTAGGGTGTGATTGGACACCCAAAAATATATTTGCCATTTTAATAAAATATTAATTTTAATTAAAACGACAGACTTGGGGTCTGCATTACCAAATTTTGAGTTCAGGAGTCGGTTACGTGTGGGTAATGATTAGCACCCCCACAACGTCCTAAATCGGTACCTAGTCGATTAATTAATTGTCTTTACAATAAAACTTACAAGTTCGAGTCTAATTTAATTTAAGATCCCCTAAGTAATGTTCTTTGAATTTTCAGATGAAACATGATAATATTTAATTATTTCCTATCGAGAAGAATCAATCTCTCATACCTTGAAGCAATCGATTCTTACTCCAATCGAAATAAATAAATATTAGAATTCCATTCTAAATTTCATTACTAATTCAAAATAATAACACCCAAAATAATTTTAAGAGTGAAAATGATAATATCTAATTATTTCCAATCGAGAATAAATGACATTTTGTGCATTAAAACAATCATTTATTACTCCAATTGAAAAGA